CTGGTTCCTGACGCTCTCTTTTTGGAACAAATATGATGAAACGATCTTTCTTTTTTGTATGCAACGATGGGACTTATCGCGGACTTCTCGTTGGTTATTAATATATGACTGAGGAGCGCTATTGTCAGATGTTGAACCACCTTGTGATGCATTACTTTTATGATTTAGGTCAGGTTTCGCACAGTTTCTCTACAGGAGAAGATTCGGTCAACAGTTCACAATCTGATTCAGGGGGTCAAACTTCTCTCAGAGGCAGGGTTCTAATAAAATGTACAGTGGAAAAAATCCGATCAGAATCTCCTCAGTCTAAAAGACTGGGGCAATAAAGATGAACATATGAGGTGTGATGCCACTCCACCTATAAAAAAGAAAAAATCTTTTCAGTGCACTCACGGCAGTTTTTTCTTCTGTTGAGAAAGTGGCATTCAAGATTTTTAACGAGAGTATCAGTGTGCTTATGCTGCAAATCGTTTTTATTACCAAATTCTAGCTCTGGAGTTTCGCTTTGCTATAGAAAAGGTAATTTACACGAGTATTCGTAGGTCGCCCCTAGTCGGCGTCCCTACTCAGAAGCTACATTCCCAAGGACATATTTAGTATCTCATTTTCACGGACTTGAGGGTTCCTGTGTGGGCTAGATAGAGTGAGGTTCACGTTGGCTGAGTGGTTCCAGCAATATCATGCGAATCGACAAACGGTTTCGCAGTCTGCATGGAGGGGGCATTTGGAACACCGCTAATCATTCTGTTAAGGCTGCGTTCATAGTTCGCAGCAGCGTCCACCAGCGTCGCCCAGCGCCCATCAACGTCTCGAAGGACTAAGGAAGTATATACATCGACCTAGCGTCCACCAGCGTCCACCGGCGACCAACAGCGTCCATCAGCGACCAGGAGTACGGTATTGTGTACTAATGCGGTGCAATTGCACACGCCACAATTTCACGACGCCTAATCCAGCTGTCTCCTCCCTCCTACTTCTCCATACTCTACCAGCAGTCTGCTACCCTCCTACTTCTCCATACTCTCTACTCTGCTGATGGACGCTGGTGGACGCTAGATCAATACCCTTACTTCCAATTCCTCGAGACGCCTGGTATGGTCGCTGAGTGGCGCTGTAGATTGCCAGCTGAATCGATATCCACACTTTCCTTAGTCCCTAGAACGCTAATGGTCGCTGGTGGACGGTGCCGCAAAGTACAAAAGCAGTTTTAAGTCATGGTCACAGCAAAGTCTGACTTTGGTGAGACCTCGAACTCCTGTGTGAAGCTGCGCGAGAATGATGGAGTGAGCCAATTTTCAATCATGGTGACTCAACTCAATTTGAGCATTATCGTAGGGCCACTCAGCGAAAATTAACCTCAGTTTTCTCTTCTTCGATACATGAACACTTACTTCGCAAAGAACCGTTCCAAGACAGGGCCTCCATGACTTGGAAGATCCTCCCTCCTTAATTAGTACGTGAACCGTTCGACCAACTTCACTTGATATGTCGGTATCTCATCGGCTCGAGCTCCTGTGATATCCCATGTGAGAGTATATTCATGGCGTTCGACATTTTGTTGAATGTTTACCACCTTGATTTCTTCTATAGGTCAAACACAATGTCTTCTGAAACATGGCAAGTTTCATTCCGTTTCGTCAAATTCTATGGCATTCGAAGAAAATGCACCTTTTATAGTTGAAGCAGTTAAACCATCCACAAGAATGGCGGTGACATTCACAGTGAATGTACCGCCCTCATTGGCTGACATAGTAGGTGGTATTACCAGCCTGAACAACGCCGTTCTGCATCGATAAAAATTATCCGCTTTCGCGACATGCGAATCAAGTGATGTTAGTGGGATGTCAAGACCGCGGTTCTAGCTTGTCGACCATGAAAGGAAATGCGAGAAATGCGAAATGTAGAAGTGCGGAAATGCAAGTGCGGAATCTGCAGAAAAGCAATAGATACTTATCGACTTGAAGAAATGCAGAAATGCCGAAACTGCAGACGTGCGGAAAGTGCAGAAATGACGAAAAGCATTACATACGTATCGATTTGAAGAAATGCAGAAATGCCGAAAGTGAAGAAGTGCGGAATCTGCAGAAATGCCGACGTGCGGAATGTGCAGAAATGCCGACAGTGCGGAATGTGCAGAAAAGCAACCGATACGTATCGATTTTCCACACTTTCGGCATTTCTGCAGATTCGGCACTTCTTCACTTTCGGCATTTCTGCATTTCTTCAAGTCGATAAGTATCCTTAGCTATCTGCACATTCCGCACTGTCGGCACTTCTTCACTTTCGGCATTTCTGCACATTCCGCATTTCTTCACTTTCGGCATTTCTGCATTTCTTCAAATCGATACGTATGTAATGCTTTTCGTCATTTCTGCACTTTCCGCACGTCTGCAGTTTCGGCATTTCTGCATTTCTTCAAGTCGATACGTATCTATTGCTTTTCTGCAGATTCCGCTTTCTGCACTTTCCGCACTTCTGCATTTTCCGCATTTCTGCATTTCTGTTCATTGGTCGCAATATGAACGCCGCGCTTAAGGCCGCGTTCATAGCTTGCGACCATGAAGAAATGCAGAAATGCCGAAACTGCAGACGTGCCGAAAGTGCAGACGTGCCGAAAAGCATTACATACGTATCGATTTGAAGAAATGCAGAAATGCCGAAACTGCAGACGTGCCGAATCTGCAGAAATGCCGAAACTGCAGACGTGCCGAATCTGAAGAAATGCCGTCACTTTCTTCAAATCGATACGTATGTAATGCTTTTCGGCACGTCTGCACTTTCGGCACGTCTGCAGTGTCGGCATTTCTGCATTTCTTCAAATCGATACGTATCTTTTACTTTTCTGCAGATTCCGCACGTCTGCACTTTCCGCACTTCTGCATTTTCCGCATTTCTGCATTTCTTCATGGTCGCAAGCTATGAACGCGGCCTAACCAATTCCGCAGGGCAGAGAACGCACCAATTTGATCACTCGAAATTGATGGCAAAGGGCACACAACGAATTACAGTGTTTACCGCGCCTGTTACCTGGAACGTCGAAGAACGATAAGTGCTTGCCGCGGGGATCTAGTGTGCTGACTTTCGCTGGCAGAGCTCTTACTCACTCTAATTTCCTGGGATGACTTATTGGATTCATTGCAAATCCAAATACCAGGTCCACCTTTTGCAGGGTAAGATGCGTCTTGTGTGTGGGCCTTAATCCATCAACGATGCCATTGCATTGGTGCAATAACTCCTCGGTGCAATTATTTACCGTAGCCCAAAACTAGTTCGCTAAGTTGTCGGAAGCTGTTTTCTGTTACAGGATTCGTTCCGATCCATTGTTCCATCCTTTTGTAGTGCTGAATGGCACTAGATGCAAAGAAGCATTTGTAAGTCAAGGGATTCACAGAAGCCGGAGGGCATGTGTATGCTAGCGAGTCCAGGCATTGAGCCATCACCACAGGGGTCTTTATTTGAGACGTCTTCGATGGTTTTATATCTGTAGGTTCACCCAGCGCTTAAAAGTCCATAACCTACTTGTAATTAAGACGGCACTCGGGCGATTGCCACGTTGAGTCAGTGGTGTTCATCGGTGAGCTAGAGTCGCCTGAGTTACCCTGAAATGAGGGAAGAAATCGAAAAGAAAACATCGAGAACGTCCTAAATGAAGACAATCCACAAACTCAGGCCACCACTAGATCGATATCCTGGTGCGAAGCCGGAATTACGGTAATCCGACGAAGAAGTGCGCCAATGCATTCCAAGGTTGGTGACTGGAAGCAGCGCCAAAGCATACTAACACACGAAGTGGACGCTGGTAGACGCTAAACTGATATCTACAACTCTCCTGGTCGCTACTTGCTGCCGTACGTTCGGAACGCCGATGGTCGCTGTTAGACGCTTCCACAACGTATAAACGCAGCCTAAACCCATTCCCGGACTTTCCCGCAGGAACCGTCACCTCGTGTATGTGGAAACTTCGATCTGATAAGCAGATTCACATCTGTAATACTGAAGGACAATCGATACTGTTGGTTTAGCAGACATGCCGATTCAGGCCCCCTACGATTTAAGACCACTCAAAAAAGGCCGTTTCTTCGTGAGAAATGCGAAAGAACCAATTTATGCTTAAGGTGCATAAACCGTTCTCATTTGTTACGCTATGCTAGGGCTCTTTGCGGCTTTCACCGTTCAGAGGTGGAGCGATTGGTACCTGATGAAGACGTCAAGCAATTGTTTGGTGTTCGCTCCGTCTTGAGGATAGTCTTACCAGAAACACATGACGGATCAACTGCTCAATGCTAACTACAATATAGACAACAATGAACGGAGCGACTGTAAAGAAATGGACTGGCAGGAGTTATGGTCGGAATGGCGATGGTCCTACCAGCAGCACTATCGTAGTCACTTGAAAGCACAATCCTCGTTCCGGTAAGGCGGGTATGATCAACCGATGCGCCATCCCCATCGGTGCACCCCCTCCTCTTCATCGTTCTACAGAAAGCGCATTAGTCAGAAAGGCTTTATAGTCAGCTGTTCTCGCCCATGTGATCAGCGAAGAGTGCGAATTCATTGTAGGTTCGCACACTGCAGTTAGTTAGATCAAAGTTAAAAACACACCTCTTCTACAGTTTCAGTGAGCAGCTGGGGTGACGGACCCTTGTTTCGCTACGTGTACCTGGATCCTAAAAAATTTCATACTTTACAAAATACTGATCTGCTATGAAAACAATGTTTATCGAGGCTCATATTCTGCAGAATCCACTGACTTCGCATCATTAAATACACACTGTACGATCAGCTGAGAGACGTGTAGGATTAGCTGAGAGATAGGTCTTTTTCCCTTGTGACACAAGAAGAAAGCGTGTTACGAGAAGAAGACCAGCTCCTATGGATTGTTCATACTTGAGGGCAAGCTAAGCACTAACCCCTTAGTCCTTACCATGTGCGAGGTGATTGGGTAGCGTGTTTTGTTCTTCGCTGGCCTTCTGCGCTGACCTTGTTATGGAGCTGTCTCCACATGTTGCCGTCAGGTCCACACGTCCTCCACACGTCCTTGGATGACACCTGCTCCAGCACTTTTCCACTCGCTTTTCTGCGTCGCTGGGATTTACGTCCGTCAGACACACTTCCGTGGGAGGGACAAGGAGTATTATTGGATTCCCATCTAGAATTCCATAAAGGCCTACGGCAGATAAAGTTTGTATTCGGTTCCAAAATGCTAGCAGGGCATTAGTCGGGAAAAGGCGAAAGGAGCGAGGTGAAACAGAAACACTGTAAAAATCTCGGGAGAGTTCTCCTCGGCCACCGCTACGGGTTAGAAAGGGCTGCTTTATTTACCACATATCAATGCTCACGCCACGCCAGCCGCTTAGATCAATCCCTTCGCTTTCACAATGTATCTGCCAAATGAAGCGATACAACCATTACCAGGCGGTCGTCCATTGTGTGGACGACGGGCGGCAGTGGCATCTTGGAAGGAATGTTGCAGCTGGATTAGGCGCTATAAAAAGGTACCTGCCTGTGACGCGAGCGTTACCCAGCGCGTGCTCAGGCCGACAGTCTATGCTGCTAGGCGTATTCATCCTACATGTCTTGGCGATTCATCGCGCCACTTGCCTCTAAGCTTTTGATTTGTACTACGCCCGAAAGTGTTCGGATGAGCATGAGTGCTCCTCGAGGTTTTCCCGCTGCCCCTAACTAATTCTGAAGCTGTCATCTCTCACTATAGATATTAAAAATGAACATACCTCCGCGTTGGCGATTCGTCATTCCACTTCACCTCCCACGAGATGCTAATCGAGCGAGGTCGCTTATCATTCTTTTCGACTTCGACTTTAGGGTCATCTGGACGATCTAGAAAAAAAAAACAGGATTGAAGACTCTTCTATTTGAACAGTGTGAAGATCTGCTTCCACACGCATTATGCGAAGTACTGTTTTTTTTTGGCAAGACCCGTGCACAGGGTACAACATCATGATGTGTGAAATATGGTGCCAGTACGAGCCCCCCCGTCCCCCTTCCCAGCACCTACCTGTCAATTTCCACATTTTCCAAGTTTTCACCCAGAGATTCTCCGTCGAGCGGGAGGGAGGGGAGGGGGAGGGAAGGGAGGGGTGTACATAGTACACATGAAACAGGAAAAATCACGCGAAAAGTAACAACAGGAAAACCTTCCCCCAACGCGGCAAATTCCTCTCAACGCCACCCCCCCCTCCTCGGCCGAAATGTAGGACCCCATTGTGTGTTTTACACAGCGACGCTGTACCCTGCGTATGCGTGCACTCAAAAACAGAGCTCTCGATTACGCGAACCCTGTCTGCCGATTACGTCGACCGTGCCGTTGCGGTGACTCGACCTTACTTTGTTAGTTACGCGAACGACAAAGAAGGAAATTTCTCAGAACAACCTAGCACTTCTCAGATCTGTTCTTCTTTCCTAAGCGCTCTCTTCCAAACAAATTCGCGGTTGTTCCACGAAAAAATGCTCTTGCAAAGCCCTTATTTCGCGGAATAGCGCGTCTAGTGCAACTATGGATTCTGCGGACTGGTAAAGAGTTCAAAATTCAAGCTTTTCTTCATCATGGTGTTCACAAGGTCACCTCCAGTAATTTGTGCAGTTGTGTTCTACTAGAAGTTACCGTGAAGTTCACGATTGATTCTACTGTGTATTCGATTTCGACTGCGCACACTTCGGATCGTTAGACTGCCGTAAGGGATGTGACGAAAAAACCAGTGCGGGGACGTGCTCCACTCATCTGTCCCTCGGATACTCGTTAGTCGTTATCCAGTGAAGAATTCTGGAATCTCAAGTGACCCCAACTGCTGAAGAGTTGCCAGCCGGAGAAGCTAGGCTCTCTGGTGCATGATTCAGTCTCCTTCAACGCAGGCTGAATCATGCACCAGACAAACAGAGCGCTGACATCGCTGCCCCTCCTTTCTGAGGGGGATGTGGGGGGTCGTAATGATGCTGGGAGCATAAGCTTTGAACACAGAAGATACCGAACCCTGCGAGAGAGAAAGCAGGACGAAAATAGTTGAATTATAACATCAAAGAAATGGCCTTCTGTGAAAAATACTGAAGCCACAAATCCGCAGTCATGAAATTATCAACGTGAGCGCATTGGCTAGGGACAGAACTTTTAAAGAAAAGTGTTCGTCTGCAGCATTTAAAAAATCACATACAATTTAGTACGGTCACGTAATATGTTGTCGTATGTCGGTACTCTCTGCTCTCGGGCGGCTGATGAAAACACTTGAAAGTTCCGCTTTCCCTCACACCATATGTGACATTCTGTTGATGACAAGATGGTGCATAACCCTTATTGCCTTTCGTATCCTGGAAATGATTACCTTACATTACTCACAAACTGTTCTAAGAAATCTAGTGAGTCGCTTTGATGATGCAATGAATTTGAAGGTCAAGCTTTCTACCCAGTCAGTTTTACACTTTGTGTGATGGACAGCGTTTATACCTTAACCAGTCGGATCGCCCGGCTAACGCCGAGCTCTCCTCCTTCTTGGAAGCCCGGCTTCGCCGGGCTCATGCAACTGCTTTAGAGTCGTGACTAATCGCTGTCTTCTAATCAAATGAATGTAGAAACGCGCCATATGATCGCAGGGCACTTTCATAATGAAAAGTTCAAAATCTGGTCATGGATAATCGATTACTCTCCTCCCCATCTCATGACAGCCATGGATGCTTCGGTCTCCGCAGTCGCTGCGTGCTCCTGTTCAGGCGAGCGTCGGTCGCGCCAATATGCCCCTTCACCTCACCTATCCCCAAACTAACCTCAGCTATTCCCCGCTCAGCCACCCTACAGGTCACGCTCAGCTGCTACGCGAATAGCCCGTGCAATGGTTCTGAGTGCACTAAATGGTTGTGTTATGTTGTGGAGGGTGTTATGACTATCAAAACGCTACCACAATTTGATAATGCAACATTAATCGGTTCAGTTCCGATTGCGGTCGATCCATTTTCTTCCCATCTTATCGCAACCGTAGACGCCTTACCGCCGCAGGCGCTATGTGCTCCTAATCGCGAAATCGCCGTTCTCATCTGGTATCCCCTCACCACATCATATCCCACTGACCCTATTTAACTGCGCCCACTCCCGCACGTGGATGCAGCCGCCACGTGAGCAGCTGGTGCAACATAGGGACACTACGCCGCCACTGTTCTTACCACCGCCTTGCTCGTGCTCACGTCCAGCTCCTGCAATAGCACAGAGTCTATCACAGTGGTTGGCTTAGATAGGGGAGCTATTCACAATCCAAACAGCTTCCTAGTTCGTTGCTGTAACATGGATTAGCTTGCAGTTTTGCTAGGGGTTCTTTCCTTCTGTCTTGCCGCCTGCTCCTATCCAAGCGTACGCTACGCATCCCCTTACTGTACCCAGTTTGCCCGATCCTCCTTCCCCTGCATGGGCTCAGATCCGACTGAGTACGCGCAAGGAAGTGAGGATGGGAGAAGGGGGTCACTCGATACTAACTCCCACCTTCCTCACCTCACCCCATTCCGTACTCGCCACTTATGCTGTTATCACAATCAAAACATTGGATTGATACATCTGCACCGATGGGTTCCCGGTTTGGCTAGCGGTCGTTTTCTTCTTTCACTAACGTGTTTAATCCCGTAAAGCATTTTGCGGACGGACAGACATACAAACCGACATACATACATACATACTACATACCGACAAACCGACACACAAAGTTTCTGCTTTATAGAATGTAAGGATTCCCACCACTTCGCATAGAAAAGTATGCGCTTATCGGTGCAAATCGAGGGAACCGGATGTCAACCAACCTTCTGAGCGTAATAATCAAGAACGTCGATTACGTCGGAAACATAGACTACTTTCAGATTGCTATGTACAGTTAGTTTTCAGAGTAGTCGCCGGAATCGTCAGTTTCTCTAACAAGGGAACCCCAACAGGTCGATCCAGCCATTTGCATGAGGTGGATAAATATGGACGTGTCTTGAGCCGCTGAATCCAAATCTGCCCTCGAATTTGCGGAACCATTCTCTGAAGGGAGTTACGGACCATTTAACACGTTGACGACGAGCCATTTTCTCTATGACTTGCGCGTGGGACAGAGCATTTTCTTCGTTGAATTTGGTAATTATAAAGTAAATGAATGACTCTGATCGAAGTGTGTTAGAAATGCCTGACAAGGGAATGGTTTGAACTTCCCATGGAACTTTGAATGGAGACCTAGGTACATCGATAGAGCCTCGAATGCTGATTACGAATATGCAGATTAAAAGTGCTACGGGGACCTCCCAGACGAGATCTGGGTGGTCAAAGTTTGAGTTCTGGCTCGTAAGCGCTGCTGATCGATGCTTCGGCAGTGCCACCGTGGCCTCGTGGTAATGGTCTCGCTTTCAAGTCAAACGCATGCGGGTTTGCATCCGGTTGGCGCGAAAATTTTTGCTTCGCTCCGTATAAGAGCTTCAACTCTAATTTTCGAAATTCTTCCGAATTTACGGCCCAGCAGGGCAAGTAGATCAAGTACATCAAGTATACGACGTACTCGATCTAGTATGGATTTGGTCATATCTGCCCTCTCTGAACAGGTTACCCATCCGACAATTCAAAGTTTTAAAATTCGTTCATGGGAGATTTCGACCCCCTGAACACGAATATCACATCCTTCGACGAAAAAACGCTCGTCTGGCCAAATTGCGATTCTGGGCAAAACTTTGAATTGTCGGATGGGTAATATGTTCAGAGGGCAGATATGACCAAATCCATACTAGATCGAGTACGTCGTATACTTGATGTACTTGATCTACTTGCCCTGCTGGGCCGTAAATTCGGAAGAATTTCGAAAAGTTGAAGCTCTTATACGGAGCGAAGCAAAAATTTTCGCGCCAACCGGATGCAAACCCGCATGCGTTTGACTTGAAAGCGAGACCATTACCACGAGGCCACGGTGGCACTGCCGAAGCATCGATCAGCAGCGCTTACGAGCCAGACTCAAACTTTGACCACCCAGATCTCGTCTGGGAGGTCCCCGTAGCACTTTTAATCTGCATATTCGTAATCAGCATTCGAGGCTCTATCGATGTACCTAGGTCTCCATTCAAAGTTCCATGGGAAGTTCAAACCATTCCCTTGTGAGACGAGGATGCGAATCTTGAATTATTGATACAATTTAGTTCTTATTCCACGTCTTCCAAAATCAGGCCAATTTTTACCGCATTCTTTCTCTGGGGACTTATTGGGCACAAGATTTGCCCCTGGGGCATTTGGACCTCCCGAACATGAATTTGCCTGGCACGGAACTGTCTGGGGCCCTCATCACAGGAGCTAGGCAATCTCACGCCACACGCGCCGGCTCAATGCAGGCATGGGCGCTTTGGCGACGGGGGCATTTTTGCACTTTACGACTTCCCATCGACGTGTCGACCCATCTAGACAGCCTCTTCTCGAGTTGACAGGTTTTACCATGATGGCTTGACGAGCTTCAAGAGTTCACAGGTTTCAACCAGAGTGAGACTTGTAAAACAGAACTAGCGAAGCAACGAAAAAGCAAAATGCCCCTCGTCGGCAAAGAGCGCCACCGGCATGTCATGCCGTCGCCTGTAACACGGGCGCTATACAATTTCGCGTTGAGCAAGTGTTATGTTCATACCCAGGGGGTTGAACTACCCCTGGAGACAAGGTTTTCAGTGATTTGGTGATTTAGAGTATTTTGGCGCTGGCCCTTGTGGCGTGTGGCGTAGGCGCCAAATTACTCTAAATTGCCTCAATTTCTCATCGCCAGGCAGTTTCGTCGCAAGCCATTGCGAAATTTATATTCAGGTGATCGGTCAAGCTACCCCAAGAAACCCTTTTTCAAGGAACGTGGTTGTTTTCACATCTTTATCACTAGAACTGCAGGGGGGGCCAAAAAAAGTCACTTCGACCGAGTCACATATCAGCAAAGTTTTCGCTGCCCAGACAGAGGACGTGGATACGAGTACCAGGGCGGAAGATACCCAAGATGTTCCTCGATAAGCAGGAGCTGGCTCTCGCCATCACCTTCATGTACACCAAAATATGAAGTCATCTCCAGTCGCAGCCTGACTGGAGAAGACCTTTGGAATTCATGTCACCTCCAAACAGCTGCGAAACTTCTAGTATGGAGTCACCCATGGATAGCTACCTGGAGACCAGTACTCTCGATCTGGATGACCTCCAACATCGAGCAGCTCCGACAACGTCGCCACTAGGACATCATCTTCACCGCAGTCGCCAAGGCGCGGGTTGATGGTATGGACCGGACGTACCTGGAATGGAAAGACCAATATTTTCTTCGTGGACCCCGGACTGAAGGTGAGCGCTGGCGGTTACATCGAGCAACTCGAGAAGAATACCGTACCTTCTTGGAAACTTTGTACTGCTACCCACATGGAATCGAAGGGCGTTGGAGAAACACTCGCCTACTTGGAATGGAAGGGGGCTGAGTACCTAAAGAAGATGGAATATCCAAGTAGGTCACCTGACCTGAATCCCCTCAATTACCCGGTTCGGGCGGAGTTCAATAGGGTGGTCTACGGTGGCGGAGAAATCGACTATCTCGCTGATCTCAGGCACCACATCGCGGTCGCGTGCCAGAATCTCTCGATGGCGCTCGTCCAGAAGGCTGTGGCGGAGTGTCATGATAGTATTTAATATGCTCTTTAATATGGTGGTAAAAATGTCCGATCAGAATTTAATAAAGTGTAACTTATAGCGCCTCGAAAGTCAATGAAGAAAAGTGACTTCGAAAGTTTTTGCTTTCATCCAAAACACTTCATATGAGTCCCTAAAACACTTCTGTTTGGCCAATTACCTAGTTCTTTAATTATTTGACATCAGGAGCAAGCAACTCGCCTTTTCTGTTTCTTTTCAAGAAGTTTTATTATGAGGATATCCGTTTATGCAAGCTTTCAGTAAGAAAATGAAGATCTTACGGTTTGAGAGCACATGTGGTATTCCTCCACGAATGCTGGGAACAAAACAAGCTCTCACAATGAGCACAGCGAATACAAAAGTACGACCCCGAAGAGTCAAAATTTTTTCGCTGAAAATTTGCCCACAGGGGTAGTTCGGTGTCCTGATGAATACAGCACTCTTTACGGCACTGGCGCCAATTTGGCGCTGCCGCATTTCTCACCAAATTCGACGTAAAGTTGCATAGTAGGGTTATTTGATGTCCTGATCACGAATACCGCATTAGTTTTCAGCGATGGCGCCATTTGAAGCCAATATGGCGCCGGCGCCTGTGGCACAGGCTCTTATTTTCAGACCGAGCGGATGTGTTATTCGTGTTCAGGAGGGCGAATTACCCTTGGAACTCAACTTTCAACCAAACTTGCATCCGTTCAGAAGTAGTTCGTGTTCACTTACCGTAAACTCCCAACGGCAATTGTGGCTTCGGTCCAAGTGATAGCCCGTGCATGTAAACAGACTTCTGTCCATTACGCCCACTGTTAAATTTCGGTGCCAAAAATTCTGCACATTAATGCACATAGAAATAATCTGATAGGATACTTTATTTGAAGCTGTTGTTGTTATTATTAACTGCCTAGTTAACGCGCGCGATGGAGCGTTCGAATACCATGAAGGAGTATACTGATGGATTCACCCGATAAATAAAAAAATAAAAATTTGGACCGCTCAGCGGTCCTTTGTGTGACGCGGCAGGCGTTGGACTCCTATACAAACTGCAGTGGCCTTTTATACAAAAAAACAAATGACTAGGAAATAGAGCCTCCCAGAGGATTTCAAGTACCGAGTATGCACAGGTCGGTGTTTTCACTTCGTGGAACAGCAGTCCGGTACTTTGGTGCTGTGCCCTCCGAAGTGCTGCTTGTCCATGTCGGACTATCGTAGTTACTCTGGTTATTAGTACGCTGACACTGAACAGATGCATGCATTGATAGACCAGGGCACAGCATCGCTGGGAGAAGGGGTCGTACTCGCTTGCTGGAGACAGAGGTCTTATTCGGGTTCGATGGGAGTTTTCCCGAGCCACGAGATTGTTTTCGATTATTGACTTTTCTCGGTGTTTTCCCGTTCTATGTTCACTGTGTGTCGTTATGTTCGCGCACGGACTGGCACACAGATTATGTAGTTTTCGTGACAGTCAAATCAACAACTGATTGCTGATCACCGTCCTTTACTAGTTCGCGTGTGAGAAAAATAGATCAAAGATGAAAAAGGAAAGCTACAGCGAGGAAAAATAGGTGTAATCATTACAAGGAAGGACCTACGAAACTCATGGAATGTCATCATAACTAGCAAGAGAAAAACTCACCGGAAGCAGCGACAAAGTATTGGGCAGCGCTCAACAGAAGCAAAACGCAAACCAAACGTCTGAAATAGCAGCAGGTAGTACATCTATATGTAGCCCGTGAAACATCATGTGATACGGACACGTCCTAACCATTGGAAGTATTTTACGAAAAGCCGGAGAGGAGATCCTCTCCAATCTACTCTCGAAAAATGGGCTGGTGCGCCGCCGCTCGAAGGCGGTGAGGAGAACGGGGCACGTCGTATGTTGAAAATTCCCAGCTGTGTTTCCCTTTGTAGAAAAGAGGAAAAACTCGGAAAGATTGTAGGTATGATGGGGAATGGGCTCATGTCAGAGCAGAAAGATTTGAGGGAACGCCATATTCAGCGACCCCAACGGCAGGACCTATTTAGGTGGAGGGGACGGGATACAGCGCGTTCGAGAGACAGCACCAACAATCAAAAAATCGTTCCTGGAGCAGAAACGACTTTTCTCTTCCATCCAAGGACCAAAAATGACGTAAATGGCACGATAAATCCCTCATGCATGTGATATGAGTACGCCCATCACCAAAGAATACCGCGCCCCCGAGTTCATGGCGTCGTCACCAACGGGAGGCGATCGCTAAGCATCCTAGCGAGGCTTCTCATACTCACCCGTAATCCCCTCAAGGCCGGCACGCCCGCAAATGACCGCACTGATTGCAGCTGATCACGATCAGATCAGCACTTTTCACTTACAATCTGTGGCCAAGTGACGCTTTTCCCTTCTTCAGCTTTGCTTTTGAAGAGTCTCAGTCTCTATTAGTAATGAAAACAACTTTCTTTGACAGAGCGCAAGGTATCCTTGCAAGTAGCGATCATTTTAAATGTTTGATTGCTCTTACTTTTTTCGGTTATTTTTCACTCAAATTTTCGCGAATCTTCGACAGCGCCTTCAACAGCATATCATCAGTAGGTCCCTGCTTCTCGTGAATGCTATGCTTGATACTGTCACGGGTTTTGCTGCAGCTTGAGAAGCGTTTTCTCACTTCCTCTGCAGACCCCACAATTTTTTCACATTGGTCTTTGACCAGCGATCATTTATCTCCGGCGTAGGCTCGTACAACTCCTGGGGCGAGCAATAAGCACCCTATTTTGAGCGCTCTGTCTCGCTTTTGCTTCACTGCCGTATAAAAGTCTCTGTTCCCGTTTTCTATGCAGAAACAAGTTATCATGCTCACTTCCTTCAATCGTGCCTGCAACCTCTGCAGCCCTCGTCACAACGTGGAATTATGTGCAACTTTTTATAGGGCAAGAAAGGTGCCTATCACACAACCATCCTATCAGTCAGGGCTGATACGCCCACTAACTGGATTTAAATTTTATGCTAGCGCGTCTCCTTCCTACTACACTCTCTACCACACCACAAAGCCCTTGCTCGAGCTACATCAAAAAAGGAAACAAGAAGAAAGAGAAAACGAGTATATAACAAGTAAGGCTTCAAACTATTGGTACGTATCAACAGTGTTCGATTAGGCAATAAGCAATAACATGGATGCCTGCACACAAATAGCATAGACCCGAAATGTGCACAGATGGTTACTTCATACACTAGAATTGGCCCTGCATATTGTTTTGCTCACGAGACATTCTCATGTTCTTATCTCCATGTTTGAAACTTTACCCCTCTCATCACCAATCAAGGAAACACAAAAAATGTAAAACAGATAAGGCATAGAAGTCAACAGCTGCTGAACATATTGCAAAGTTCGATATAAAGCTCATCAGGGAGAGGGATAGCTCTGCAAGTACTTAAAATAAGCTGAAAGCAGAAGACGAGACAGAACTCACAAAACACACCAGCTTTCGTGCGGCAAATTAGGAACAGACCCACCTCCAGTCATGCTGGCCGAAAAATGAACCGTACTCATGGACGGTTTTGCTATCGCTCTAAACTCTAAGGATCACCTATTTTCATTCGGCGATGACTTGATAGAGGCGGTGTACGCTCAGACCAGGCACAACTCTTATGCCAGAACATTTATGGTACTGTATATCATCAGATAAACTGGCGTCAGCGTCCATAGCTAATGGACGGTTTCTTTTTCTCACTACGCAACTTCACGCCAGAGATAGGATGTATCGCTATGATGTACTTAAGACCGTTTTGCCAGAGAGCCATCTGTTTTTTTCGAGTATTCTGTTTCCATCAATTTTTAAGTGCGCAATTTGGAGTGTCAGGTCGACGAAATTGAGCATTCTCGACACTCCTCTTTGCACATAATTAATTAAATTAATTAAAAGCTCAAATCGCAGTTGCTAAATACATGGCTGTCGGAGTTATGTCTCTTAGAAATATATCGTTTCACTGAGTTCAATAGCAGATTCAAATATTCATAATTTTGTCCACAAGACAAGCATAGAAGCTGATGCTCCTAGCTATTACTAGAGTAGAGAGCTTTAGAATCAGCTTAATCGTTGAGGATCCCTGCTGCATCATACGCCAAACAGGCTTGCGTCACGGGCACCCCTACGCGTTATTTCCCTCTTCCTAATTTGATTGCAAAGACCTTGTCCCGGGTTTGACAATTTCACCTGCTCAGCACACTGGGGTGTCATTCACATCTTGCCCACGACTAATAGTATAATTCTAGCGTGTTTCTAGAAAAAGGTTCAAATTTTTTTCGCGTATCCTAGACTTAGCAGTCCCCTTTTCCACAAAAGCACTACTTTTCTGAAACTGTCCACCGACGTTTGAAGTCCGAGAAATGCTCTCCCCGATATCGAAAAGCTCCTTATCTCGTAGTGACGGACGAACAAAGTCCACGTCTTCACGCTCGTAGAGCGGGAGTGATGAATAACATTGTGTTTACGATGTCCCACGGGAGGGACTCCAATCCAAGTTTTGTTCGGTCCACGAGTTGACACCCACCCATCCATCCAACCCTTGTCACTTTTCAGATTTTGATGGGAAGAAGCTGGTGAATTTCACGTAACTGCGGTGCAACACAGACTTCCAATAGCGGGAGAAGGACGTTCTATAAAGAGTCATCGCGCTAATGCTACATTCAGAGCTCACTCACGCTATTGTAGAAAGTTTGTGGCGCGGTGGGGAACGGAAAGAACTAGGTAGGTGCCTATCCCGGAAACGGGGAACCACTTCTTAGCATCAATGGTAAGAACCAGCATAGCTCCCTACCAGTAATTTCAGTTTCAATTACATTCTCCCTTTGCAAACAGAAGGGAGCGGAAAGAGATAGAGAAGTCGTTGCTGGAAAGTGCAACGAGAAGCAGCATTATTCAATCGCCCGGTCGAAATTTCTGATTACAATGCAGTAACTGATTTTGGTGCTGTATCCAAGAATCCAAAGGGTCTCTCTACAGTCACGCTAACTTTTGTTATTATTATTTTTACTTATATATTGTTTTTGAAGGCTTTCTCAGAATCAGCAAAGCTCGAACACTGGAAGTAGCAGATCTCGCATTGGTAGGCAACAACATTTCATTACAATCAGCACCTAACATGCGCAGGAATGGAGATACAGGACCGTGAAACACGCTAATTCCTCCATGCTCCGCCCATACCTTTTTGCGGCGCAGATTCCCGTTCATGCTAACATCCGTCGTAAGCGCGCGTGTCGCGTGCGGCTCTCTTGGCACTTTGCCAAGTCCTGTTAATTGCGCTTTGAATACAAGTAAAACGCAATTTCCTGATGCGGATAACATTTGAGGTGCTGCAAAATAAGAGCAGAAGAGAGCAACTGTGCTGCTTCTGCAATATCCCTCGGAGGCCGCGCATTTCCACGAAACATGAAAATAAAAACGGCCTAAGCGTCCCACTCGTTAGTTTAAAGTATTTCTATGGCTTTGGAGCCGGATTCGTCGCAGAAATTTACACGCGATTTTGGCTTTTTC